CGCTCATGTCGATGGGCGTCAAGGAAACCGACACGGAGCAGGAGCTGATCAACGCCTTCAAGGTGTTTGACAAGGACGGGAGCGGGACGATTTCGAGCGAGGAGCTTCGGAACGTGCTCAAGTCGCTGGGCGAGAACCTCACCGATGCCGAGCTCGACGAGATGATCAAGATGGCGGATAAGGATGGGGATGGGCATATTGATTATCAGGAGTTTGCTCATATTATGAAATGAGGGGGGAAGAGGGGGTGGGTGGGATGGTATGGATTTTGAATTGTAGGGAGGTGGGAATGGGGGAAAGGGGGATAGGATATCTGAGTTTTTTGGAGGGATGAAAATTGGATGGAGGTTATGATTTGTTTGTTCTCTTAGCAATGGAATGTTATTTCTGGCTACATTGGTTCATTTTTCGACCATAGTGAGCACATTTGTTTGCGACCTACCCAGAAGGTAGCAGTTGACAGGCATTCCGTAATCGGTCAAGATCATATACCGGGTGGCTGGTTTGTAAACTCCAGGCTCGTAATGTTTGTGGGCACGGGATTCGAGTTGGGAACCTGATAACAACTTGCTTACAATCAGGTGCGAATAACATCAATCACCAAAGGCGCCTAAAGTTCAGCAACTAGAAATTCTAGAACTAGTCACAAGGAAGATAACTCGAAAAGATTTCGTTTTAGGAGGGCGATAGCCAGACTCCTCAATATTTGATGCCGCCACCTTGGTCAGTCTGTAGTATGATGCCCCACCACATCAGTTTGAGCAAAATCTTGCGGCCCGTTCGCGTTCCTGGACCGTCGCCACCTCCGTAACGACTACCTTGTAAACGGTACCTACTTCGTTCACACCAGTCGAGTCTTCCGGAACGCCTCGCGCGCATTCGCGATAGAGATGCATTGTTGGCGCCAGGATCCCGTCCCCTGTCGGCGTAGACAAGGCAGAATGTTGGCGCGGATCGTTCGGGGCTGTGTCGAGGATGTGTGGTGCGGGCTCGCTCATGCCGTCTAACCCTACCTCCTCCCTTCTTCTCCCAACCCCAGAATCCCCTTCCTCTCTTTCTCATCATTCTTCCTACTCCTGACGTACTCCTTGGCTCTAGCTCACCATGACAGTACAACAACAGTTGCACTTCTCAAGGGTAGACCAGGAAAGCATCAATGCGCTCCTCTAAGATTACTTAGACAGCGCTATAAAGGAGGAGAGTAACGAGTAGCCTTCCGTTACTTTAGGTATATAAGTAGGTAGAGTACGATAGAATATAGACTACCTGAACCGAGTGTATCTTCTCCCCCCTTCCTGGGCATTCCATAATATACCTAAACTAGATCTCGGCATTATACCTAGGTGTTGCGAGTTGAAATAAGAAGATGCCCCAAAGCACCTACCACTCCTCCTCCACGTGCACCCCATTCACATCCCTCTTCTTCCACTCCACCCCCATCTCCCTACAAATCCCAACATACTCCCCCACGCGCTCTGCAATATACGCCTTCACCGCCGAGTACTGCCCGGTCAACCGATTCTGATCATCATTCATGTCCCCCTGATAGAAATGCGATTGCGTCTCCGCCTTCCTCGCCAGCGCAATCGTCTGACAAAAGAAATTCAGCGCCTGCCCGAAATCATCCGCCAACACCTCCCGCTCATTCACGGCGCACGAGTCACTCCCCCCACCGGCCTTCTTGTTCAGCGAATTCACCCACGCGTTGCCAATCGGCACGCTGACAAAGTTGACCGCAAGTCCCACCACGGCGCCCTGCAGGACGGCGTTGAGGTTGGCGTAGCCGTCGCGGCGGAAGTAGTCGCGTGCGGCGGCGGCGAGAGAGGTGCACGTGCCGGTGAAGGCGTTGGCGACGAAGATGGAGCCGACGGTGGCGGTCGAGGCGACAGCGCGGTAGCACCGGGCAACGCCGCCGCAGAAGTCGCGGGCTTGGAGCGTGCTGTTGCCGGGGGTGAGGGCGCCGGTGGTGGCGGTGTAGGTCCGGCGTGGAGTGTAGCCGGTGCTGTCGAATTCGACAATGGAGGGTTCTCCAGTGAAGCCTTCGGCGGCGAAGTCAAAGGCGTGGCCGGTGGCGGCGTCGACGTAGGTTGCCACGTGGCCGTAGCCGGGGGAGAGGTTGAGAGTGCGGGTGGGGAGAGTGGTCTTGATGTTGGGAAGGGCGACCTCTTGGGCGGCGACGGCGACGGAAAGGGCTCGGGGGACGGCTGTGCCCAGGGTGAGGCGGGGAAGGAGGAGGAGGAGGAGGGGGAGGGCTTTGGCGGCCAAGTTCATCATGGTTGCCGTGGTTTGAGCGTATCGCATAGATGATCACTTCAAGTCGAGGGTTGGTTGTACGATGTTGCCCAAGGATCAGATTGTTGGTATTCTCTACTGGCTTTATATATCCGAGTCAACATCGAGGTTTTAGCAGTTCTCATTGACTCCCAAGAGTCGTCATCCTTTACCGATCTCTAGGTTGCCTTGCCGGGTCTTCGGATACCCCGGACTCGTATTCATTTCTTGGTGTTGCTGTTGGTTCCAAGTTGATACCTAGGTAGGTAATAATGTCACCGGGCATCCATCATCGTTTTCTCTCTGGCTCAGCCTATGCTGTTGGTCACAGTTTGGGTAGGGTGTTCAGGCTAGGTAGGCAGGTGACACACGCAACCTATAGGAAGTTCGCCAGGCTGCAAGGCCCAACACGCTTGGCGGGATCCGGGTGATTGGCTCGCAGACATATAAAACTGCGGCCGCTTCACAATCCGCCAACGAACCCCCCTTTCCAGAGCATTTAACAAACGCATCCATCCCAACAAATCCCAAGACCATCCTAAGGCACAGCATCCAACCACAGCCATGTCCACCGACAATGGAACCCTCGACGAGTTCACATCAAAGCCCATCTTTTGGATACTAGGATTCCTGGCGATCGTTTCCTGGATCGTCACAATCATCAGGGCACCGAGCCAGGCACCGAAATCTTACGATACCAGGCGGCCGCACTGGACGAAATGGCTCATACCTTACGTCACTTCACGACCACGGCAGCTACTCTTCGCGTTGCTTTATCTTGGTGTCTTTGGGACGCAGGTCTTGATGGTACGCTGGGCTGGGATTACAGGGGTGAGATGGATTCAGGCCATGTTTGACCTCTGGCCGGCTCAGGGAGGTTGGGCGACGCAAAGTCATTATTCTGTGTCGACCCTGGTTTTAATTCTCATGGTGGTTGGCGCTGTTCTCGTTGGGGTGTTGATGGCTGTCTGCCAGTTCCTATGTGTCTTGGAGTTGATGCTTTTCAACCCTGATGCCGGGAGAGGAGAGAAGCGAGAGAAGAGATGAAGGATTTATGTTCTGTCTCCACCACCCAAACCAACATCAGATCACTATGAGGTAGCATGAGCTAATTGTTGCGAAGAGGGGAGTGTGCGAAGAGGTTAGGATCGTCATAGCTATCCCTAGACGTATCACATGCCAATCCTTTCTTTTTTCTATTGGTTTCTCTCTTTCTCCCTGGAAGGACGGATTGATCAAGGTTGCGCGCAACTATCTCGTCGTGCATGGTAATATTACGCGGATATAAGAGGCCCAAGTCGCGCATAATTACTTCCCGTAGCTCCACTGTCGCAATAGTCCACACGATCTCTAAGAGCATAACAGAACCCAGCGATTCCATTCCTTACTACCTATACAGAGGGCACCTCCAATCTCCCAAACACCTTACCTTGGAAATCCACCATATCCTACAATGAAGTTTGATCATATTCGGGTGTTTGTCCTCCTGTCAACTAGTTCGGTACCACGCGTCTTTGCAGGGTGCGAATGCTGGTGGGAAGGCACAGCCCCATTCTGTGACTCCTCGTGTCCTTCGGACTCGCGAAGCACTGGAATTTTTAGCGATTCCGGTGACGGGGGGAGCTGCATCACCGGGCAAAAGCAGAAATGTGTACGTTGCGGCCCTAATATTGCCGAGAAGCCTTGTTGCATCCCGACTCATACCTGCGCTACCTGCCAAACGTTTTTGGGCATTGGCGTCATGGTTTGCCATGAAGTCGTTACGGATGTTCCGCCAGTTGAGTGCGGGACACACATCTGTGGGGTGTGTATCGGTTCCGGCTCATCACCAAACCTCTGTGCGCCAGGGGTGAAGTATGAGGAGTGGACTCCGCCCCGGCCTGGGGATGCTAATCCCACGCCGTGGAATCCGTTTACTTTGCTTCCCTCGTAGGGGAAACATGGACGCTGTTCCTCACCGAAGTTCTGGCCTGGTGAGTACTCTATGTGCTTCGGCGAGCTTGAGGACAATTCTCAGCTGATGCATTTACATCCAGGTAAGAAGCGATTTTCCCGACGGAAAATTGGGTCTATCGTCGGGATATTTTTGCACAATGTTTTCTTGAGGATATTGATAAGAGGAACTGGGAGCTGAAGATGTACAGAAGATGTACAGAAGATATACAGAATGCATAGCACTGTGTAAAGTTCGGTCGAGGGAAATATTTTGCCGTTTTCGGACTTGCTTACAGGGTTTGGTTAAACAAGGTGTGTGGTTAACTAACCGATTATAAGCTCGCCTAGCAGAGAAAGTAAAATTCTGATAAATTTAAAAAAAATTAAATACCTATTCTTGATTTGAACTCGAAGTTCAAACTGAACTAATGACAAAAAATGGGCGCTTCTTGTTATACCAATTGGCCATGAAGACCAAGCCTGTGTGTCCGAAGACGTCTAAGCTTGTCGGAATTTGCTCCCATAAGCCACGCCTCGATACGCGTTTTCCACCGTTTAATCCTCAGATCGCGTTTCCAACACGTGACCTAAGCTTTACTGAGTTAGCAATCTGAACCCAAAAAGGAGTTGACTACCCGGTCTAGATTCACGTTCACGCCCTCCCTATAAGAACGACAGCTTTTGGGCTTCGTTGTGGTTCAAAGGGTGCGGTTTCTTGTCTTTATAGCTACTAGTTCTGGGCCCTTCTGAGCAGACACGGAACTTTTATGGGCAAAAGATTAACAAAAGTGAACTGACAACTGTGAGATTCGAACTCACGCCTCTTGCGAGAGTAGAATGCACCGCTCATTACTGAGCAGAAGATATTATCTTGAGTCTACCGCCTTAGACCGCTCGGCCAAGTTGCCTGTTGATTGATGTTTGGATGGGTCAGAAATAGGCGTCACAACCTACACCCAGCCTCCTCCACAAATGGTTACGACGAAATAACTCCAAACAACATTGTAACTGTGTGATGTTGAATGTCATTTTGGGGTTGTTTTTATTGGGGTCGATATCTATTTTGATGCACAGTATGCTCCAGGTTGCGCTCTTGTGACCATCATCTTATCATCATGATCCACACGGTGAATAAGAGTAACAATTTGCATACCTAAGTGAATTGCTCCCCTTTCTCAGCAGGGGACGGAGCAACGTATTCACTACAACACTCACACAGATGCAACTATTTTCTCTCTGCCCTATTTCCCTCCTCGCCTATTATCCCACCTCCAGCTACCATCAAACATCACAGCCCTGCTTGAGAACATTCTCACACCCCCCCCCCGAAACAGCAATAACCACAGCGGCAATCGACATAACAACCTACTTCCACCATGCCAGCCAAAGAAATCTTCCACTGGCCCTCCATCAAGCCCAAACTCCTCACCCCCGAGGGCCGCCTCATATTCGAGGACTCCATCTACCCCGACATCGCCTGGGACGTCCTCGCCGAAGCTGCCAAGCGCCACCACCTGCAGGACATGCACGACGACGCCTGGAAGCATTTGCAAACTGCCAAAGACATCAGGGACAACGGGCCGGGGGGTTACGATGGGGAGATGCAGTTTGCGTTCTTTTTTGTGCTGGCTGCTATGATCAAGGTGCAGCTTAAGGTGCAGGAGAGGAATATCGCTGCTGGGGGGAATGGGAATGGGAAGGGGGACAAGAGTCCTGGGGGAATGAGTACGTTGAGTGAGGGGGAGAGTATGGAGTTTGGTGAGTAGTTAATGGAGGGGGGCATCATGGATGGGAGGGGAAATGAGGCTGATGATGTGATAGTTATGATTGATATGGAGGAGCTGAGGGCTATTATGCCTGATGGGGTGCGGACTGGGAGTTCGAAGGGCGTTTTGAGGAAGGTTGCTGGGTGGGTGTTTGGGAAGGCGAAGAAATGAGGCAAGAGTGTTGAGGGAGGAAGGACGCTGGCAGTCACAATCTTGGTGGGACTGATTGCTCGAGGTACGGTAGACGACCACTGCATTTGACAATTTCAGGCGACGTGTTTATCCGATGAGTCTTTTGCGCAACTCACGACGACTTGTGTCTCGTGCCTCCGAAGATGTGTCTGTGAGCCTACTCTGAGCAGAGTAACCAAAGCCCAGCCCAACATCAAGAAGAGTTAATACCAAGCTTTATTGTTTGTCCTTCCAGTGGAAACCTTGTCCCAGACTTCTCGCGTTTGTGGTACGGCTTTAAACTGTCAAAGTTTGAAGCCTTTGTGGCAGGAAGTTAATAGGTCCCAATGTGCAACATACAAGCAACTCCCAATGGATGCGTCCTGTCATTTCTGGACCATAGGTCAGTCGACGTTTGTCTCTTTGACAGTCATAAGGCAGACCAGTAACAGGTCCAACATTCTTATGCCTTCAGTCATCACCAAACTTCTCTTCTGATCTTTCACTACCAAGCATAAAACGCCTCAAACTAACTTTCCACTGATGCTCTAAACTTTACCGCAGCCTCATCTTGAAAAAAGTATTTAACGGAGGATATGGACTGATCTTCGACTCCCCCATCAAATCGATCCAATACTCTCTCCGCCGTTTTCCAAAGCACCAGTCGCGCGATCACGAGATGGCATCCACACAGCGCACCCGAAAAGACTGGCCTATGTACCCTCTCGACTCAGACTTTTTCCCCTGGCCACAGATGCGAAAATATTTTCTGCCTGCGACCTCAGGGACGCTCGGTTTGATCGATTTGGAGCACTATGAGGCCGTGGCGCTCGACAGGTACTGCGACTTAAGGGTGAACCATAAGCAATACACCCTCCAAGCGATCCTCGACGACGTGGTGGAGCTAAAGGACGCAGTGCGCGCGGAGATCATGAAGTACGCGCGCGCGTGCGAGGAACTTGAAAGAGTGAACTGGCGCACCCGAGAACCGGAGAAACAATCACTTGAAGCCGAGTCTGCCAACATCACAGAAGGATTGGATTACACTCAGGAAGAGGCTTGGGAGCTTCTCGTCCAGTGTACCTTTTATGGTGTGATGACATCTGTCATTGAAGGTTCGTCCGCCTAAATACCTATTGAGGTTTTCCCCAAGACCAGAAACGATACTGACCAACTCAACAGCGGACAGGGACGAAGACCGCGACTGGGTCGATCTCACTCAAGAGGCTAAAGAAGCAAGGGTCAAGGTCAAGGTGGAGAGAGAAATTGGATTTCGTATGTCCCACTCCGTGTTTTCCATTGTTGACCATGAGAGAATAATCACTGACGAGTTTTATCTTGCAGTCATGGTCGACAGACCAAACTCAGAAGAGAGTGATAAGCAGACAAGCCCCCAGGGTCGTCCATCGGCACAAAAAGAACGACGATCGACACTGAGTGAGTGGATGGAGAGGATAGGGCTGACGGAGCAACTTGGGGGTGCTGAGGCCATCGAGAAGGCGTTTCCGTGGATTCGTAGAAATTCATGACAAAATATTCTTGACCAAATTTTCTTCTTGAAAACTTTGTTTGTTTCACGTGAAAGTTCGCAACAAAAAAGAAAAAAGAGAAAAAGTCAAAAACGCCACAAAAAGGGAAACACGTGCCAGCCAAATCCCCCAGTCCCACCATCCCCCAGCGCGGCCTATAGCAGTGAGAACATAGGGGACAACGCCACCAGGAGAATCTGTAGTCGCTATAGAGAGCGCCCACCCCAGGAATTGAACCTGTGATGTTTGCGATCCATATGTAGGGCACTCTAGGCGAGTGCCAGACCACATGGCCACACACAGTTGTGTTTGAATTGCTGGAAGGAGCAGCGAGGTTCGCTCTTATCAAAGGCGATTGTGAGGTGGGTCGGGCCCTCCTTGACATTTGCTTGTGTACCCGCACATTGACTTGGACGATGCAGACTCTTTCACTGCGTTTCTCCCCTTTGACATATTCTTGCTTTGCCAAGGCCAGTATATGAGACCCAGTCGACTCCCTGTCTCATCCCTCTTGCTACCCATCACTTCGATGCCTTCATCCTGCATCAATACCTACCTCTTCGGAAAGTCGTATGTGGCCAGCAGGATAATTTCAGGGTCATTGAGGGCCAACAACCTGCTCCTCTGCCGGTTATCATTGCCTCAGTCCCCAGTACCTACTTTGCGAATGACAACTTTGATCATACTTGGTTCACAGGTGCTTAAGCCAGCCTTGTCTGGATTTTGTAGATTGGCTGTTAGTTTCAGATCTCTTAACAGTCTGTCTATTGGTGAAGTTTCCAAGCTTGAGTTAGTGTTTTGTTCTATTGGTGTGTTGCATTTGTCCCACCAGCCATTGGGTGCCCCGTGCAATGACGGGTAGATCGGATGAAGACAAGCAGATACCTACCTCTTATCGCTCAACCATTCTCGATAAGAGAATCCCTCTGGTAGCCTACGACTTTCATCCTCTGAATCTGTGCCCTCTATTGCCCACTTCCTTCGAAAAACACAGATGGACATCGATCTGTTGGAAGACACCCGGGTAGCAAAACGACCATCAAGATCCGGCACGACGACCAATTTCTCGTTCTCAATTGTCCAACCGTTCCAAAAAGCGCCATGGCTGGTATGTTTTTCTTTGGATTATCTTCAATACGCCCTGTGCTAACCGTCTTCCCCGCCCAAAACAGACCACGACGTCAACTTCGTTAAACTTGCCCTCATGAGTATGATCACCTCTCCATTACACTCGTTCTTCAAAAGTTTTCTTGGTTCTAACCAGAATTCATTCCTCTCAGCGGCCGAGATCGACACGCTGCTCAGCCGTGACCCACTCGCCACTGAGGACGAGCTGTTCATCGTCGCGCAGGATACCGTTCATACACTTCACTTCGATGGCGGGATCCCTATTGATGTCCTGCTTCGCGATGCCAAGAAATTGTGGGCGGAAGTCAAGTCCCCCTGGGTCTATGGAAAAGGCATTGACAGGACGGGTGTCCCGAATATCTTTGTAGCAAAACAGATCCTCCTATACATGATGGCAGCTATTGCTGATGGTAAGTACAAAGATATACAAGCGTATATGTCGAGAAGAGTCGAACAAGTCACTGATTCAGGTCATAGGCTATATGCATGGCCAACTCCTGAATATGAGTAATATCGCCAACGTGCTGCGCGCGAATAATGTTTATGGTATGTACGCGGGATATCCTTCGGATATAGGACGCATGTCTAACCATGGTTACTGTTGAACAGGGCCAGACGTAATTGCCAAGGTAGAGGCAGCCAAGAAGGCGACAGAGAAGAGGATCGAGGAGGAGAGAGCGAAGGGGCGGACACCCCTCGGCGACAAGGTGGATGACATTCTCGAGGATTGCCGGGATTGTGAGATGATGTAGTGACTTTCTCGTTAGAGATAGTACAGCCCACCAGCAGTGGGTTGACTGGGAACGATACCTAAAATGCCCAAATCCTGATCCCACAGGTCATTGCTAATAGCTTGAAACTGGCGTATTTGCCATCCCCATGTCTCATCTCGACCTCCAACTCTTCAAGTAGAGATGTTATTCAATGCTTTATGTTTCTGGAAAACATTGTCAAGAAGCTCAAAGTGGAATTCCAAGACCTCATCGACCTGACAACGCCACCTCCGCAGAGCCCAGTCATCAACCCGTCGAGGTCTGTCTCTCCTCCCGCTGCCCCCTCTATCAAGTCACCCATATTATGTTGCGATGGAACCATCCCACGGATCTGCTGGGGTTGTTGGGGCAGGGCGACCGGGGATGTAGACACAGGTTGTTCTTACTGCTGGCAGGCTTAGGGACATGAATAGTAATTGCCTTACTGTCATCCTTTGGGTTGGAGAGACGCGAGCGAACGGCAACAGGGAGGGAAATCAAGGGCGAGTGAACGGTCGAGGCATACGCAAAATTGAAAATTGAGGGGCAAGAAGAAACGTTG